CTGACCTGCCGATTGTCAAACAAGTTGTTAGAAATGGTACAGATCATGAGACTTCAGACGTCGACTGACGTCTTGGGCATCTACGGTCGAGGAGAAGGAGAGAGCTAGGCGCGCAGCATACTTGCCGTAGCTGTGATTGCGGTACACCTCATGGACATCACCGATCTTGTGAAGCAAGCGGGCCACAGTCCACTCTGTGTCTTCGCGGAAAAATACGACCTTCCCGGCTTTCAAGTGGCCATCGCTGTACCCTAGCCAAGTATACCTGCAGCAATCGTAACATTCAGCATACACTCATGGCAAGTTTCAACGGTTTGCTGACCGAGCACCCTGCAGTTGAAGACCATTTGCGATCCAGTCCTCGAGGTCTGTTTTGCGTGGTGTTCCTGATCCGTTGCCCTCTCTCGAGGTAGAGAGGAAAAGGAATCGTTTAGAATCGTCAACGAGGCGTGCAGCTCGAAAAGACCGGAGTGGCTGTTCTTCAGCGTCGGTGACGCCGCCACGCTTGTTTACGCGAGCCGCAAGGACGACCACGTTCGGAATGTTCACCATTGTGCGAAACGACGCGTTTCGTAAGTACCTCCCGTCGTACTTCTCGAGGCAGAGGTTATGCACATGAGATGATGGTGGTCAGAAGCTGAGGATAGATTAGAGCCTGCACACAATCACCGACATTGTCAAAGAGGTCGTGTCTAGATGAATATGGAAGTTGTGTCACGGACTCGCGGAAGTTGCCGCACGACATTGTTCAGACTCAAAATCAGATGCGCCACTGAGACCTCTCGAGACTGCGTTAGCCTGATTTGCACCAACTTGGCCTGCACATGCATAACATATGGTAGTACTATTAGTGCGTAGGACAAATGACGACTAAGGCTTTCGCATATGAATCGCATTCGTAGCTGAATGAAAGACAAAAACCAATGCCCAGAGTCCGGACTGGACCTGGACACCACGCAATTGAGATGCCACAACGCGCGAGGCGAAGACGTCAAAAAGGTAAGCATAATTTCGGGCAATAGGGCCTAAGAACATAGAAGATTGCAGTACACTACGAATGATGTTGCCGATCAGTATCGACCACGGCGTCCTCCTCCCGGACCTTGATACGGTCCGTAGTCAGGGGGTGGGCGACCACCTGTAGGGTCGATCAGATTCAGGCACAGCAAAAAACACCTAGCGGACTGACCTCCTCGGGGCGGCGGGGGCGGCGATCGTCCTCTCGACGCGCTCGAGCTCGATGGAATAACCGCGTTCCTGAACACCTGCATCAAGTCATCGGTCCGGAATACGGGACCTGTTGAAACATCATGCGCACATCAGACCTCAACGATCGCGAGACGAACGTGTCGCGGTCACGCACCATCGAATGAGGACGGCGCCGGGAGCATGCCAACGAACCACGACAACACAGGAGGAAGCGTCACCGGCTTCTCCTCCTCTCTCTCCTCCTTCATGCTCCGACGTCCGGGCGCATCCCTGTCGCGTTCCCTGTCCCACCCGGGGCTGCCATAACGTCGCCGAGGCGGGCCGTCCCACCTAGCATCCCGCTCCCGTTCGCGTGAGCCCGCTCGCTGCCGCTTGGACGGTGGGCCATAGTCAGGCGCACGGCTGTCGTCTCGCCTCCTGCTGTGTGCCTCCGGAGACGGAGGCCGTTTGGACGAACTCGGCGCCCCCTGGGACTGCGAGGCCGGGTTGGAGACAAGAGACATCTGCGTTTCAGTACGGCCAAGGGTGCCACTGCCGTTCGAGCGACTGCTGCCGCTGCCCTGGCGAGAGAGGCTGAAGCCCAGGTCGCGGTTGGCGATCGCATCCGTACCCAGATACTTGTACCGCTCCGCGAAGCGCTTGATCGGAGGGTCTACATAGATCGGTCAGAACCAAGAGACGACGACGTTTCTGGGAGCGTGCTCACCGTTCGGATATGCCTCTGCCATGCGCTTCTCGAGCTTATGCGCAGCCTCGAGGTCGCCATACTGATACTCGTATCTCGACCAGCGCTCCCATAACGGCCGCGCTTTCTCAGGCGGGAATGTGCCAATGACACGCTCGAAAAGCGCCCGAGCATCTGCACCGAGCATGTCAGTCACGAAGAGCTCGTATGAAACCAACGAGGACCTACTGTTTTCGTCGTTGACTGAAATGAGGTATCCTAGGTACCGCAGGACAAAGTCCGCTTCGTCGCTGAACGTCTCCATCCCCTTCTCGAAGATGCGGTTCGCGACATCGGCCGCCTTGTTGCAGTGGTATTCCATCAGCGCTAGCATTCATCACGCCAGTCAATCGTCGTCGTACGAAGATTAAGGCGACTACGCTCACCAGCAGCCTCGTACACTTCCCAGGGCGTCCAACGCTCCTTCCTCGCCTTACCAAACACAGCTCGCGACGGTTTCAGGCCCTCCGCGCGTCTGGCAAATCGCATGTACGACACCCACGCGATGCCGTATTCCGTCCGCCGCTCGGTGAGCTCCTTGTTCTTGAGCGGCTTCTCGTCCGACTTTTCCGTAGCGAATGAGCCACCTTGCGACTGAGAGCTGGGGTCGGGCTGGGAGTTCTCAGCCGGTTCCGTCTTTTGCGACGGAGAGATGTTCGACGAGAACGACGAGTTGGCCGAGTTGATCCTGCTCTCGACCGCGTCGAGGTCCGTTTTGAGCACATCAAGAAATTTTTCGAACGTCGAGTGAACTTCCGCGACGTTTTTCGCCGTCTCTTGCGCTTCTGCGTAGGAATAGTTGAGAACAAAGCTATGGGCGACGTCAGCGCCGTCAAGATATCAATAGCACAAAACTTACCTAGACGGATTCGCATCTATTCCAGCTTTCAGAAGAGCAAGAGCTTCGTCCGTTTTACCAATACTACTTGTCCATACGTACGCCATGTACCTATCCCGACAAGCGAGTGAGCTAGTCGGCTGTCCAAGAGACGCTCGACACATACCAAATTTCCGAGAAGAACCGCATACGGACCACGGCCTTCTTGTACACGCCTTGAAGACGCGCGTGCAGGTTGCCCTTCTCCTTATCATCCAGCTTCAACGGATTGCTCTCCTCCCACTTCAGGTACTGACGCCACCGCCCAACCAACGCCCTGTCGCCGGCGTTGAATGTCGGGGATCGGGGAAGCCATATCGGCGGCCGCGACGACCTCGACGGCGGAGGAGGGGGAAAGAGGATGGTCAGGTGCTCCTGTAGGGTCGTCAGGACGGTACGCGCCTGCATGTGACTCTCCTGCAGGTCGGACAAGAACTTCTTCGCCTGCCTTCTCATGAGCGTCGGTAGCGCATTGATGCGAGAACAAGGGTGCTCACCGTGATCCTGTTCAGCCCATTCTCAAAGTCCTGGTACTCCTCCCACAGCCGCTTGATGTTGTCTATCGGGATCTGGACCGCTCGCTGATACGCCTTGCGCACTGCGTCCATCTTTTGTTGCTCCTCCCATGTTGACGTCGTCTGTCTATGTGTGAGTGAACCGGTGTGTATGGTTCTGGTTCGGTACACACCTCGCCGGCTTTCAGAAACTGCAGGTAGTCACTCCACATGTCGCCGCTGTCCTTGTCCTGGCCGACATGGTTCAGGGCGAACTCATAGGCCGTACGGATCACTTCACGCGAGTTCGGACCAGTGTTGACTCTCCTGTAACCACGGAATCAGAGAGCATGTTCGGACGAGTTGATAATTGCCTGGCTGGAGGTCGCACGATGCAAGTCAGGGTGGCATTGAATATGGATTGAAGCAGTCCGTCACACAAGCCGGGGAAGCCATCACGCAGGATAACACGTATGCGCTCCACGTTCCCGTTGGCGTCCTATGTCATTCACTGAAGCAGACGAGTTTTGCAAACATGCGGCCTTCTGGAACGGTTTCGACTGAGGGGCCACTTACCTGACGAAAGTGAGGTAGAACTTCCAGAGGTCCACAGAAGACGACTTGGTGAGATAACGCTTGAACAAGGCCACGGCAGATCCGAACGTCTCAGGGTTGTCGGTGTAATGGTTCAGGTAGGCTATCTGGGCAGAAGACTGGATGGGCAGTGAGTTGGCAGCGTGTAACGCACACAAAAGGGTCGCGAACAGTGTTTGGGTATGCTTCCAACAGTCCCTCGTAGGTTTCTTTGATTCTGTCGATGTCACCAGAGTCTTCTGCGAGGTCGACCAGTCTCAGCCACCCGTCTGCATCATAAGGTTTTCCCCGCAATTGTGCGCGTAGTTGTTCCCATTCTGACGGAGGTGGAGGTGTCGGTTCCTGCTTACCAGGGCTCTGCACGTTCGTGTTGCCGTTCTGAGGGTGCGCAAAGGAGCTAGGGTTGAGTTGCCGCAACGCGTTCAAGATCTCCTCGGTTGGTTGTGTCTTGTCTTCTTCGCCGACTTGAAAGGACGCGTCGCCAGAATCTGGTGGATCTACAACCATTGGTTGAGCCTCGGACATTTCACCACACCGTCGCACGATGTAGCGGGATACGAATGGTCGAAGTTCAAGTTGCGTCGGTGCTGGTTCGCGCGAAGCGCGAATTTGGACGCGCGGGGTCTTATCGCGGTAAATTAAAACTTATTTTACCGCAACTTAGTACCAAACCGATAATGTTGTGAATGACAACGCATAATATCATTACTACGTACGTACACGTGCACTGCACCGAACAAGTCGACGAACGTTCCGTTACGGTAGTCTCGGAACCAGCCGTTCTAGAGGCACGTGCACACGTCAGCGGAGATCGAAAAAGAAAAACCAGAAGTGCCTCTAGAACGTCTGGTCGTTCTCGTAGAGAGGGGGGGGTCTCACTCGATCCCGTGACGAAACGCGCCGCGCGAGAGGCGCACGGCGCATACACGCAGCGACGCTGCTTGCTCAGATACGTCGCATCATCCGTACCCTCCGTCCTTCATCTACCATGCCTCCTAAAACGACCAAGCCTACAACGGCGATGCCTCCTAAAACGACCAAGCCCACAACGGCGACACCTCCGCGGCTTCACGTTCGAGGAATCACGCAGGCCTTCACCGAGGTGCTCGCCATCACTCGCGCCGCCGCCCACAAATCTCGCGGCTACGACTCCGAGGCGGCACGCCAATATATCCGCGAGAAGTTCATCGAGGCGAATGCAGATGGGATGACTCCGTATGACTGGCAGGTCGACGTCACAGAAGCGACGAAACTCGGGTTAGACTGCATAGTTATCGCAGGGACTGGCGCGGGAAAGACGATGCCGTTTGCGATGCCCCTCTTGGCGGATGAAACAGGCCGGAAAATAGTGGTGGTTATATCACCACTCAATGAGCTGGAGAGAGATCAGGTGAGCACGAAGACATTGCTTGGAGTCCAGCTGCTAATGCACATCGTATACAATAGGCTGAGCGGTTTCGCAAGATGGGCCTGACAGCTACCGCGATCAATAAAGAGGATTACTCGGAAAAGCTGCACAAGGTATGTTCATTCACAAATAACGAACTGAACTCGCTCACAATCGTGCACAGGACATCGAAGATCGCAAGTACCGCATGTTACTCACGGGTCCCGAGATGGCTCTTGAGCACGAGAAGTTCTCGAAGCTGCTCCGGTCGCCCGCGTTCGCCAAAGACATCGCCGCGATCGTTATAGACGAGGCGCACTGCATCTCCCAGTGGGGCGACAGCTTCCGGAAGAAGTATGGCGAGTTGGGCCGGCTTCGCGCTCTCGTGCCCGTCGGGATCCCTTTCCTAGTTACTTCAGCCACCCTTCCTCCACTCGTGCTCTCGGATATCCAGACGAAACTTGGCTTCTCTACGAGGTCGACGTTCTTCGTGAACCTGGGCAATGATCGGCCAAACATTACCCCTCTCGTCGTGCACATGAAAGGTGGTGCTAGTGACCTCTCGGCACTGGACTTCGCGGTAAACGAGGCTCTCGCCGGCGGGCCCTTGGTCAAGACGCTGATCTTCTTCAACACACGAGACCTGGCGTATAGAGGCCTCCAGCATCTGAGGAAGCTGCTGCCGGATGCCTATAAGGACAAGATCGACTTTCTGCATGCTCTTCGTGGCGAGGATTCAAAACGGGAGGTCATGGCGCGATTTCGTAATAATGAGCTGTCGATTTTGTGTGCGACTGAAGCAGCTGGCATGGTATGTACCGACGAGCACTTCGACAAAATATAACTAATGCGCCTTTCGTAGGGCCTCGACATCAGCGACATACGTCGCGTGATACAGTTCATGGTGCCGACCTCGCTATCTCAATGGCTCCAGCGCTATGGCCGGGCGGGTCGTGATGGCAAGCCAGCCATTGCGATACTGCTAGCTGAGCAGTCCGTGTTCAAAAAGGTCAAGCCGCGGACGGCCAAGCGGGATACGGCAGAGGATGCCGACGACACCGAGTCCGATGATGGGGCTGTGGAAGAGCCCAGAGAGGTGGCTGGCGGGGATGATGACACCTCTGCGATAGATCTAGCTGCTGCAGATGAAGACGACGACAGCGAGGATAAGGTCTTCCAGAAGAAGGTTGAAGAGGGTCTACGCTCCTGGCTCGAGGCGTCAAACTGTCGGCGAGAGGTAGCTGACGAGTATTTTGCCAATCCGCCGAGCGAGAGACGTAATTCCTTGCATTATATGTGTATTATCTGACTGTCAACTGATTTCCGTACACAGGACTCAAGGCCCCTTGTTGCGATGTATGCCTTGCACGAAAGCAAGAGGATACGGAGGTGATCTTGTCAGATGACGACAGCAGGATGGTTTCCTTCCTCAAGTCCATCCAGGAACGCAAGTCGGAGGCTGACGCAGGAGTGCCAGGAATCAAAATCGAAGACTCTGAGCTTGTGCCAGCAGCGCCGGGTAAAGGACGCAACCGCCAGAGGGATCGATACAAGCACGTTCATGAGGCTGTCCTTTCTTGGCGACATCAGTGCTGGCGACGCGACTATGCCATCTGTATCTGGGGTCCAGAAAGTCTGCTACCTGACAAACTTGCGACTAAGCTTGCGCGCGCTGCCTGGATGACGACTCTGGATGACTTGCGTACTGGCCTGTCTGACTGGGCTTTCTTCGAGGACCATGGCGAAGAGCTTCTGGGGGTGGTGCGGTCTGCTGACTCATACTGGTGCGAGCAAAACGAGCACGGGAAGCGAGGACGAAGCGACCAGCGTAAAGTACAAACTGCCGAGAACAAGGCTATCCGTGAGGAACAGCGGCGTCTCGAGAAGCTGGCCGTCCCCAAGCCGACGACATCTAGCTTGCGAGAAGATGTACGATGCGACGTGTTGCAGGACCGTCTGCTACCGCCTCCGCCAGGACATCAGCAACTTGTCAAGCTAGAGCCGGGCCTGTTACCGCTATACCCACCTCCGTTTGTGCCACCCCCTGTTCCCCTGTTGGCGCCACCAAACCCGATGCTGTACCCCCGACTGGATCCGCCTCAATTCCCACCACCACCTCACCTCCCGCCACCACCTCACCTACTGCCGCAGCCAAACCCGGTGCCGTACCACCCACCGATGCCACCGCATCCACCTCACTGGCAACCGTACTATACCTGGACACCATTCCATCATCCACATCCTTATGTCACCGCAGCACCACCGCCCAATGGGGTACAGTATGCCGGCTATCCTCCGCCGGGCATGTATTATTCATACACAAATCGTGCTTACATGCCTATGGACCAGTAGTAGCAGCCGTGTTTGTAGTCCCTCTTGTACTCTCACGTTCGACATAGCGCTCCGTTGTTACCCGATCGCACTCGCGTTTCTCGTAAAACGAATCCAATGCCTTTTTCATCTTCACGGGATTGCTACCTTCACGCATGACGTCTGGGTATTTGTTTTTCTTCGTAACCCTTCGTCCTGCAATGTATTGGTGGACCTTCGAGTCACGTAGCGCCTGGTGCAGCTTCGCGATGTCCTCCTCGGCATCTGGGCTGGTATGCGATTTCCCGCGGTGATAGTGGTTGAACTCGCTTTCGATGTGGTCTTTCAGCTTCCGTAGACACGGGATGGCCGCGGACATACGACCAAGTAGCTCCCACGTTGCGTATGGCCCCATGAGCTCGAATATGTACTGCCACCGTGCACGAGTCAGTACCTGGAGATGGGAAACAGGTTCGGAGTCCTGGACGACATACCTTCAAATCCCGAATATTATGCTCTTGAAGCTGATCGAATGGGAGAAATGAATCCGGGCGTCCGGTAGTGTTTGCCAGCCAGCAATGTTGCATGACGTGGTTTCTGAATGACACAGATGAGAAGGTGAGTCAATGCACGGTTCTTGTATGCACTAGGTGGTAGTAGACGTACCGCAACTCGGGTGTCCACTCCCGGTACATCGAGTGCATGAGACCCAAGACCTCAGTGTGGTAGTTCGAGTTTTTGCCACCTAGGAAGCGAATGAAAAGACGTGGAAGTTGCTCTTCGAGTGCCCCAACATCGCCAGATTTGATTGAGTCACGGATGTCGAAGTAATCAAGGATGTCTCTATTGAACTGGATGCGCTGCTGGAGCTGCTCGTCATGCTGCGCCTTCGGTTTTGCGCGGTGCAATTCGAGTGCCTTCGTTGATGCGTATTCAGCAACGATCTTCTCAGCGAAAGCCCTCAATTCCTCGGGTTGTCGGTTGCGTAGCTCCAGATCCGAGAGTGATTTGACGTTCGCCACCTTGCACCAAGCATCGCGCAGACTAGCTGTCCCGAGATGGTCCAAGAGCTCAGACATGTCGTGTGTGAATAGGCCTTGTACTGATGTTGCACTGAGCCGTCTACGGTTAAGCAGCTCGATAGCAAAGGCCAGTCCGCGTCCAATAGTGGTCCCGTAGTACTGCGAGTGGAGCGAAGCCAGATTCGAGATTACAAGGTGGAACCAGCCATACTGAGGAACAACGTGATCCATTCGCTCGTAGGCATTCATGTCAGCGCAGCGAAACCGTTGGATGCCACGTAGACGTGAGACCGTAAGCTGATCGCCAACCCAGACCAGAGTCGCATCGCGCGCAAGCTTCTGTTTCTTTTCTTGAGTATTGAAGCCGAGCTGTCGTTCCCATTCCTGCATCACGCGTATGTTGCCTTCATATGACGCCTCTTCTATCTTGACTGTGTTTAGCATGTACGCAACCGTAGCATGTTCGGGACCAGTCGGCAGTTGCACTGTGGGCGCGGGCGGCTGGAAGACGGAGTGATCTGCGAACTGATAGCTTGAGAACTCGAAGTCTGGAGCCTCCGTAAGGACCGACAGGACGTGGTAAACTGCGCGCTCAAGAATGCGCGGAGCAGCCTTCGCATCCATGAGGAGGAGATCTCGTAAGGACAGCTGTTCCTGGCTTCCCCGATGAAGTTGTTCGCGAACAGCGCGTGCGTCCAAACGAGCAACGGTGGGATTCTTGATGATGTAGATTGTTCCAGCTGTTCCGCTCTCGAAAGAGCACTGGTTGTCAAGCCGCTGCTCGAATTTCTTGTTTTTGCGGTTGATATTGTCGTGGGAGCCAAACCATAGGTAGCTCTCGATGTCCCGCCGAAGAGCTTCGTGTGCCGTGGTAGCCAGTCGATCCACTGCAGGATAGACCCATTTTTGATTCATACAGATCGAAAACGCATTGAGCGTGTTGAACGCGACACTCGCGAGGCCGCATGCTCGGAAGTAGAGGCTGAGCATTTGTTGGAATCGGCAGAGGTGGTGCGAGCGTGAGTAGCATATCATTGTGATCATCATAAGCACAGTCTAGATGAAATGTGTGAGTGCAGCTCAGTCAGCTCATGCGCAACATACAGAGTTCGGGTTTTTCATGGTGTTTCGCTTTTCCTGAACAGCGCTGTACGAAACACCGCGGAGAAGCCTCCACATTTTCGGAGCAGCCAAGGTGACCTTATTTTCCATATCTGCGAGCTTAATGGAGAGAACACTCTCCTCGGACAGCTCGTCCTGCTTTGATCGCATGATGGGGTCGAGAGCTTTGAGCTCTTGCTCGAGTTCCTGCGAGACGACATCCATCGCGAAGTCCCGCAGTGCCGCATGAGCGCCCTCGGTACTGATCCCAGCATTATGTCGCCTAGGAGGACGGTAGATGCGTTCTATCCATTTTTTGATATCTGGCATATGAGTGAGGGACGTCCGTGCATGTTGAACCTTCGCGTTTTCGACGAGAGCTGGAAATTCCGGATGCCAGCATATAATGGACACGAGTACACCGAGGTTGACCTTTTTGGAGTCCATGAATTGGAGTATCTCGAGGACAGTATCGAGGGCGTGCCCAGAAGCAGTCAGTTGGGCCAGCATGCGGCGGCTGCGTTCTGTGATTGGTGACGAACGCGAAGGTAGAGGATCTTCATTCTGAGCACGAGATGATGACATGGAGCAGTAGAGATAAATTCTAAGCAGAATAACAGGGCAGGAAGTGTACGCTGTGCACGGTAAGTAAAACGACGCGTAGGCATCGCACTGCATGTATGCGCCTCTGCGGCCTCTCGCGCGACGCGTCTGGTCACGGGGTCGAGTGAGACCCCCCCGTCTCTACGAGGACGACCAGACGTTCTGGAGGTGTTTCTTGTATGTGTTTTTCGATCTCCGCTCACCTCCGAACGGCTGGTTCCGAGACTACGTTACGGTTGACTGCAGAACATTTCGTCATTGTACGTAGTGAGGTCTACACAACGCAACACCTTACTAATACCTATTGGATGTGCAGATAACAACCAATAGCGTGAGGCACTGTGTGACTATCTCTGTTGAATTACCAGCACTGGGGTGCCGCGTGTCAAGCACGGGCCTGAGCCTTGAGGTGCATCTCAAGATTCTCAACCAACTCGGAGTCGGTCTCCGTTGTGCTGTGCCACTACATATACCTCGGTAGGTTCGCCAAAAGTTCTCGTCCGTCATTCTCCTAACGACTCGGGCGAGGTGAGCTCATCTGCAAGTTTCCTCGTTTTGGCATTGCAACGCTGAAACAGACTTGAGATCTGCAGGGCCGCCGACTCCCGAGGCTCCGAGCTGCAAACCGCTTCATTTCGCGCATTCACCACAGCCTTCCTAGTGGTGCCGCATTTATGAGGCAGTGTGGAGGCTTTATGTAGCGAGCCTTACTGCGCTGCAATGTCGCACACACCTACAGTGCACGTATGGGCTACTCGACTTTCGACAGACGGTCAAGTGTACCCTCCACAACTTCGAGATCACCGGTCTTCGCGGGTAACACGAATTATTGACGACCCCAGACGCCTTCTTTTTCTGTCCGTCCCACGGGCGAACTCGGATGACATTGAATCTCTCATCCGTCAAAAGGTGGCTGGCTTGATAACAAAAGGACTGTTGTGGAATGGTCAACGGTGAGCCACTCCGATTGAAAGGATCCCTCTCAATACGTTGAGAATGAATCGCTCGTCCAGCTATACCTTTCTTGGATTCACCGCCAAACACGTCAACAAAGGCACATTGGTGCTCTTTCGTGAAGACGCCTTCTGGACTGCCCCTCGATTGCTTCAAGCACTCGGCAATTTAGACACCGCCTGCCTTCAAAGTGGTTATGGGAGGTTAGCCACTCGTCTTAGCATATCCTTTGCCTTCACAACGGGCACCCTGGACGTGAGTCGCTCCTTAACCACATTTTGATGTACTGGGAAAACGGAGTATTTATCTCGGCCAGGTCCCAAATGGCAGAGTGGCCCCAACGTTAAATGATCTGTATGATTCGGGCGGGTCTCTGTACACAAAGGACTGCGGCATCATCAAAGAGTCAATCGCCAAGCGCATCTGTGAAGACGTCCAAATTTCCCCGGACACTTCAGGTGAGTTTCCAGTGGATTGCAGAAGAAGGCCGGTTGGTGTTCTCGCACCGGTCGATCTGAAATCCCCGATGTTACTCAGTCTTTCATGTACAACGCGGCGACTGGAGTGGTACACTTGTCCGCTACCCAGACGAAGACTTCACCCGGTTGTGCTCTGCTGGACGGGGCCAGGATCGCGGTGGTGACGATTACTGGATTGCTTGTCGGCGTTCCGTGTACCTACACGATAGCAGCATGACTATGTTGGAAATTCTTGGCTATTCTCGTCGGTCGGGGCCCTCACGATTGACCGCGGAAACGATCCTCAAGCTACTCACACTAGGTACACTACCGAAGGTATCATTCCACGACGTCTCAGGCTCCTCGAGACATGCGCTAAAACTAGCATTCGATGCATCTCGTGTCCACAGGTATTCGAAGAACTGCTCACAGACGATCTCAATGCGATCGCGAGTCTCCCTCGCAATCGCGAACAGGCCTTGCGATACGTGACAAATGAGATGGAAGCATTGCCCTCCGTCTTCAACAGCGAACGTGAGCTGGGCATATTCACTGAATTCGTAGACCGCTCTGCTCATGGGTATCATATGCTAGTACTCTCCCTACTGTTAGCAAAGCACGATCTCCAGGAATGCTACGTCGAGTGGATGCTGAAGCTGTTCCAACATCAGCGGTACAAGACCCTACAGCAAAATCTCAGCATTCGCGTCGAGGTAGTCTCCAAAGCTAGATACCCTTTGATACTTGTCTGATGAAGTTGAAACTGTCAGAAGTCTGCTCGCTTGTATGGAGTCGTCGACGAAGAGGGGATTCTTGGACAAGACGAGGTTTTCATCAATTTTCCCGATGGAGAGCGTGTTTTGTCAGAACGACCTCTGTTAATCGTAAGGTATGCTATACCTCAATCGGCGTCTTGTCCACTGTCAGTGTTCTGACAGCGCGACAGAGAATCCTCTCTTTCTACTGGAGGTGAGTTGATTGCCGGCTTCATTACCGACAGTACGATAATCTTTGCCCAGACATCTGGTTGTTCAAAGCGGTGCGTTGCGAACGCCTGATGCACCTCACCAATTGCGTCGGTGAGCTGTCGCGCTACTCTTGCTGGTACATCTCGTCTCACATGCGAACGTAGTCTTCTCGAAGCGATCAAAGCATGCAATTCTTGGCTCTGTCGTATCAGGGTGAGTAGCACCTGCCTGTACGTCCGTGTAATAGTCTCTGATTGCAACGAAGAGCTCCAGACGAGCACCAGTACTTCGTGACTTGGAACGCGAACCTTGTCAGTGCAACGGGGGCTACGCCGTATACCAGTCGATTGCACATGAGCAGCCATCAGTACGCAGTCAAGAGAGAGGGTCCTGTTGTGGATGTGAAGGCCGCAGCATTGGATGTATTTATGCTGCACAAATACGGCCGACTGCCAGAAGACATGATGAAACAGTGGCATCATTATGCACTTCGATCTCAGAAGCTTGCCCACGATCCCCGCGCAGTCGCTTTGCAACCGTTAATTCAGTGTGCTCTTGTAAGTCCCTCAGACATCATGTCTCATAAGAAAGCCGCGATGACTTTGTCCAGGACGGTCTCCACGATCCGGCTTTGACACGAACGCTCTGGGACCAATTTCACGCTATCCAGGCTGGACGCTCAGGCCGGTGTCTGGAACCTCAACTCACGGATCCGCTTGAAACCCTACGCCGACTCATTCCGACGTGTGAGCCTCCGAAAATCTCAAGCTATACATTGGATCCTGTGCTAGACATCAGAGGTCATGATGAACGCGCATGGGATGACTCTTACAGAGAGGCAGCGAATGTCTGTCGGAAGTTCAACCAAGATCTCGAGGAGGCTGTGAAGCGCGATGAGTTGGCTACCAGTGGTAAGTGTCCCATGACTCCTCGGCGCTGTCCGAATTCTGATGATCACATTCCAAGACGGATACGAAGATAATATCCTGACCCATGGCATCAGCGCGTTGTCCAAACATGCTGATGCTGTATTCACTAGCTACCGCAGTCGGTACTTCGAAGGTTTGTGGGTACTGATATGAAGTGAAGAAAGCGATGTCTAAGTCTCTGGAGACAGGAGAGACCTCATTTGTCAAGCACATACAATCAGTCCGAGCGTCCGCCTGGTCAGCTACTTATGATTTCACCCGCTCCTTGTCAGACCTTACTAACAACGGATGTGTTTTCAGGTATCATTATGGCTATGCGCAGAAGAACCCCGCATTTGCTTGGATTGGACTTGTATACCTCAATCGGATTCGCGACGGTGAGTGCATCAGATAACGTCTGTCCCTAGCTTACGCTGTGGCAGACTGGTCCCAGACAGCGAGCAAAGCCACATTCGCCACACGATTGACCGCACCTCTCGAAGGACCGCCATCCGCCACTTCAAGTTCGAGTGGCAGTCGCATCTCAAGCGCAATTGCGATGATCGTAACCTCGCCTTCTGTCGCTCAGGATTTGTCCTACGGTGCACAGGGCGGTTCAGACCAATCACGCTCTGTAGAGTACAGCCTCACGCCGCCCTATCCCGTGGCCTCAAATCCACCATCGTGCACCAATGCCCCCGAACATACATGGAGGATCACTACGACTGGATCTGCACGATCCTATCAATGTACTAACTGCACGATTAGGATCATCGAGCGTAAGGAGGGACCGAACTGGGTAGGGGATGTGGTACATTTGCAGGCAGCTCAACGTCCAAAAACGCCGATAGCCAAGTTGCTGCGTCCTGTAAAGAATGCGAACGTCGGTCATCCAGGAGACTCAGTTGTGCGGCGTGGGGTCGAAGCTCATGCGATGAAACGAGAGGATGTCGACAACAAAAGCGACCTACTCAACTCGTCATCGACGACAACGAACGAGACCTCCAATTGCTCTCAGTTACCGAAGGATAGCACCGAGTACGGTGTCAAATCTGCATCGATGCCAATGACGAGAAGACTCTGTGCCTCTGCCAATAGCGCACCTGTCTCTCGCAACCCTCCTGCTGTCAAACCTGAGCCGGAAACATCCTGCGCCTCGGGCCGAAGTTCTGGGGAATGTACGGAGCACGCTCCTGGATCGTCAGACGCACACCTCACAGATACGTCCTTCTATGGTATGCGCCTGAGTCGTGCTTCGAAGCTTGCGCAGGCTCCACAAGCAAAGCCTCAAAATACCGAGGAAAGGAGGACATCTGCTGTCGCTGCGGGGCAAGTGATGGGATCTGACCTTGTGTGCGAGAATAAAAAGCCTTCTGCACCTGTCGCCGCGCACCCACGCCTTGGGAAGTGCTGGGCAGAACATCATTCGTGGCATTGTGAATGGGGGAATCAGTATGCTAGGCGGTACAAATGCAGAGCATGCTTGGTCATTGTGAAGGAGCACAAGAACGATGGCCGGTGGGTTGCTTACTACAAATAATGGTCTTTGATTGGCGACAACAGCCATGGCAGCTAAGGCTTATGCCAGTAGAATGTCTGGAGGAAGAGTTGGTAGTCTGGTCGACGAGAGCTCTGTAAACATTTGATGTTCTGATATGTATGTACTACGAAACTAGGATGACACTGTCCCACCATCCGTTGTATGATACTTTTGTCGTGCTGCTTCGTTATGATATATGCGAGCTGTGAATACGACTATCTTGTAGACGTGACCTTGCAATTTCTCAGAAAAGATTTGACGAGGGCGCTATGGCTGACTTACGATAGTACGAGTGACGAGTCATGCTTCTGCTGTCAACACTGGCAGTTGCAACGCTACCATTGCTACGTGAGCCGAACACGGAAGCACGGAACGCCGACGTCAGTGATCGGTGCACCTCCTCCCGGTGGATGTAAAGAACCATTCCCTTACAGAGGTTGTGAATTGAATTGCGAACAAACGCGCCGGAATCGTTTCCTGCTACTCTACATCAGCAAAACAGCGACTTCGTCTGAACATGCCTGAGACGTCTGACATCAGTCGAATCAGGCACCTCAGACAGTTCAGACGCCAGGTCTGAAAAGGGTAGATTCAATTCTGACTTCAGACGCAGTGTCTGATGTCAGCTCACCTTTCAGACACTTTCAGACACGATTCAGACCACCCATCAGACTCATCGGACCTCACGAACCCAATATATTTGTAGGTCCCTACACGTAGTCTTACATACATGTACATGCTGCATTTGCACGCAGATCATTCGTCCTCAGGCCATATAGGCATATCTTTGTATGAAATCCCTGTGGTTAGCACAAAGGTATCATACATAAACAGCTGTACTTACCAAGGCCTGTTCTCATACATGAGCTGCCGCTCGCTCATGTATGAGCGAGGCGCCGTCGGTCGTTACCTGTTATAGCAGTCGCGCCGGGGCAGCCCGGTGCCTTCGTCCACGGCGGGGCGGTACCACTGGCGCGCGATGCTCGGCTGCCCCATATGGACGTACATCGGGGTCAGCGCATCTGAGATCAGGTACGATCTCAGTCCCCTGCGCCGCCGCCCAGCCCGCTGCTTGGCGTCAGTTTCGGCTAAGCCCGGAAGCCCGCAACGAGCCGAGCGAGCGGCGAGCGCAGGGCGAGCGGTTCCGCCTGCTGTTTGCGACCTCCACCACCCCACGCCGGTGACCGACATCGTTACACCGCGTACAACGAGTTACGATAGCGAGCATGCAGGGCCAACGCCCCGCATGCAGATGCAGCCGACAAATGGACAGCTGGTGTGTCAGCGAAGAGCCAGCATCAAGGTGAGTGCAATCACATACGAGCGAGCGAGCTGACCGTGTCCACAGGACGCGGCGACGCGCAGCAAACGCGCGTCGACCGCGATTGCGCAGGGCCAATGCCCCGCGTGCAAACGCAGCCAACGGGCGGACCACGGGCACGGGCTAGAACGGGCGCGTGAGAAGGCAGGCGGGAAGGTGGACATAGACAGGCGAGAACGGGCGCGAGAGCAGGCAGGCAGGTACGTGGACGTAGATGAGCAGGCAGGTACGTGGACGTAGATGAGCAGGCAGGCAGGTGGTCGGGTGGGCGGGTGGACGGGCAGGTGGACGAGTAGGTAAGCGGACGGGTAGGAGAGCAGACAGGCGGGCACGCTGGTAGGCGACAGCGCATGCCACTCACTGCGAGTGCGCTGGGCGCAGGCTGGCAAACGGACATGTAGGCGGGCGGGCAGGTATACGAGCAGCTACACGAGCGGGAGGGCGGATGGACGAGCAGGCCGGCGGACAAGCGGGTGCCAAGCGACTGAACGAGCGAGCGGATGGACGGGCGGACGAGCGGGCAAGTAGGCGAGTGATAAAACAGGTGAGCGGGACGGCAGGCGGACGAGCAGGTCAGTAGGAGAGTGGGTGGATTGGCGAGCGAGAGGGCAAGTGGGTAAGAGAGTGCGAGGGCGAGAGGACAGGCGAGTACAGAGCGCGGACCAGCAGCTCACGCACGGCGATCGCGAGCGTGCAGGGGCGAATTCCCAGCACGCAAGCACAGCCAACGAACACAAGGTGGGCGCGTGAGCGAAAAGTGGGTGACCGCGACGGTGGGCAGGGCCGGGGCGCACGCAGCACATATACTAGATCAGTCTGGGATTTGCTTTGTTTAATTCGCAAACATCGCGTGTGCGTGCAATGTTCAACGTACAACGAACTGTAATGGCAGAATATAATATATATGTACAATGAATGTGTACTCATCCGAGTCATCGAGTCCAGTATGTATCGCGCCGCAACACCCACTACGACTCGAGACTCGGCTGAGAACCAGTACAGTACACTATTGCACACGAGAATATTGTACCACATCTCATCTGCTGTGGTATATGCCACTAAACATGTAATCAATCCCTATTCTAGCATACAATACATGCACACACGGTGCGGAAACGTCCCAATCACGAATCACAGGTATGTTGCAGGCCTAAGTAGGACCGTTAAACGCGTGCTGATTGGTCGAGAACAACCCGAGCACATCGGGGTTGCCAAACTTGGCGAGACAACAAACAGACACAAACGTTGAGTTTACGGGCGCCCGCAAGGCTACTGTAACTCTACTATCTCGCTTTCATGTTCGTCTCTGCACGGAAGACAACGGTGGAGACTCTGAGACACATCCAGGAATGAATGCATCTAGGTAAGCTCATTTGGCCCGATTGTTTATGCATGCACCAATGCACTATCCATCCTAGACCGACCCTCTCGTCAACAAGTATGTCGGACGGCGCAGCGACGAACGTGTCGAATGGCGCGTTAACCAGTAGGAACAGTGCGTCAGCAGGTACGAAGGGATGCGCTCACTCGGGCAGAACCCGAAGGAGGCGGAGCTGCAAGACATGATCAACGAGGTCGATGTGGGCGCGAACGCCGAACGGCACGATCAACCCCGAGTTCCTCACAATGAAGGAGCGCAAGATGCGTGACACGGACAGCGAGGAGGAGATCAGGGGGGTGCTCAAGGTCTTCGACAAGGACGGCGGTGGCTACGTCTCTGCTGCGGGGCTCGGGCGCATTATGACTCACCGCGGTGAGTGCCCTCGTCTGCGTGGACAGGTGGCGGTGCTGATCGTGCGGGTGGTGCGCAGGCGAGTAACTGTCGGGCAACGAGGTCGACGAGATGATCCACGACGTGGATGTCGATGGGGACGGTCAAAGTGTGTCTTTGCCGTTCGATGCCCATTGCTTCTCTAACATCCATGCCATCCTCCTGGTACCCACAGAGGTCGTGTAAGTACACTCGCCACTCATCATCCGCATTGCTACCATGCTGATCTGTCCAAGCAGATCGTTACCCACTGCAATACCGTGCTCTACAGCGCGTTGCTGGGGACACTAGTGAGGAAGCCCGACATCGGGCCGGAAGAGACACCAAAGACTCGGATCCGTGCATAATGCCTCTGCGAGCGCTATAGTACTCGAATCCCCTTCGCAGCCTTAAGAACTACACGACCACTGAATGTATCAAGCCTGATCATTTGTCGGAACCTTAAACATACCAAATTGGGACATGTTGCTTCATGAATTGGCTCGTCGTGTAGAGAGTAGTAGTAGCAATTGACATTGCAAAGAACAAATGTGAATCCTTTCAAGTGTATATTGTGGAGTGCGACATATGGAGTGTGTATGTCATGGCGCGCGACATAGATTCTCGATACACAGACTATCATAATTCAGGCACCATGCTAAACGAGGCGCGGCTACTATATATGGAGCCGTACATAGCCAGATCGAGCGGATCGCGATTGCAATCACCCGATGCCCGTGACGGCACCCAAAGTGGACCAGCGCGCGACAGGTCCTATTTAGGGTATGGCCGCCGCAAGCTCCCGCCAGCGGTGGATGACCCGGCTGTCCCTGAAGGGCAGCTGCCCTTTCGGGTAGTGAGCAAGGCGCCGGCTGCATCTTCATGTATGAAGGTGCAGTCATCACTGCACTGTAACTACTGGGATCTATGTATGACCCCTTTGTGCTAACTACAGGGATTCATACATGGGTATGCCAGCATCTGGTGTCGTCCTGTGTGTTCGCAGTCGGCGTGTGTCCGCGCCCCGGCCACAGACTTGTCCCCGTCGACTCGCCCGCCATCGTGCACTTGTCTCGCCCGTCCTATCACCATGTGTACCGTCGGTTTGTCCGTCGCGTTTGCGTGCTCGGCATTTGCCCTGCACGCTCGTGGTCGTCGTGCGTCGTCGCCTGCTTGTGTGCCCGCCAGCCAGTCAGGCCGCTCAACCGCTGGTCTGCTCACCCACTCACCTGCCCACTCGCCCGCTCGTTTTCTCGTCAGTTCACCCGCTCGGTGGTTCCTCACGCACTCACCCGCTCGCACTTCCGCCCGCCCGTCCGTTCATCCGCCCGCTCGCTCGCCCTCACGCCCGCCCGCTCGCACATCCTCCTCGTCCCTATGTCTGTGATAGCGTTCGTCGGCCGCGTCCACGCGCAGGGCATTGGCCCCTAAATCCTCCCTTCGCGCACGCGCCCGCCGCCCATTTCTCTGCCACGTCCCGAGTCGGTGTGCCTGGTTGTATGACCGCCGTCGTGAAGGAGACTAGGCTCATAGGGGAGGGAGATGCGGGCACGCGCTCCTCGTTGGTGCGGCTTGTCCTCGCCCATCAGTCCCGACAGTGAATCTGACCCGCTCGGGCTCGCATGGCTGTGGTTGATACTCGTTCCTGTGTGCCCTGCGCCAATCAGTCGCGGATGCAGCGGGAGCATCGTCGGGAGCGCGGGTGCGTCTGACGGCGGGTAGCTCTGCACCTCAGTCTGATGTGCCGCTGCCGCAGGCGAATGCGTCGGTAATCGCTGGCGGAAGGGGATCAACAAGTCGTGAGAGCACTGGTGGAGAGGGGCGTCCGCCAGAGCCGGACTGAGACAAGACACACCTCATATTTCCATTTCTAAGCGCGCTGCTGATGCTCTCGACACAGCTGCACTTCATGTCGATGCTGCGATCGTCGGGTTCGGTGCTGAGTGGACGTTTCGTACCCGATATTGGAGGTGACGCGCGAGACGGCATTACGGCTGGCGATTGCGGCGCATCATCATCGGCGAATGACCTGGCCCAGGACGTGAACCACCTAGACCGATCCGCCCACCAGGAAGAGGACCGAAGCTGCGCGGGTCAGCTGGTCAGCGATACAGTGCGGCTCGAATCCAACGGTAGACTCATGGGAGCCTCCCCAACACCGTCGTCGTCATCCATGTCGAGAGCCTTGCGGGCGGTTGCGGCGCGCTGCCCGTCGACGATGGCGGCACCGAACGACTCGCGCTCCCCAAGCCTGTCGAGCTGGGGTACGGGCTGCCCTTCAGCTGCCCGTTGTAGTCAGCGCCATGCCCCGATTCTCCTACTTACTTGGTTCCTCCTTCACGCGCTTCGCAGGTGCGTATCGCTTATGCTCTTTCTCCAGTGTCTCGCCCGCCGCGGTTCCCGTTCGAGCTCTGAGAGTCCTTGTCCTTCGTGCCATTCCGGCGACGGCGGTCCTTCGGCTCGGGCTTCCTGGCAGGCGTTGGCTGCTGCAGTATACTCAGGCTCTCCGACGTATGTCTATAGCCAATTCAAGTTGACAGAGAGGATGGGTGGCTGCACCGAACAACGGGGTTGGCAGGAAAGTCGCGAGTCGCAACCGTTGACATGGACGAGTGGGTGACATGGCGCGCCTGTTTAGGGCAGGCGCCCGCGGTACTTAGTTCCTCACCGAGCGAGCGCTAAGTTAGCGCTCACCCGTACACACAGTATCCTGAGTCGATACCACAACCACAGTGCTCGTGTTACTATGCAGTATTCGTGTAGTATGTACTTAGGTTTATTAGGATATAATGTAGACTACTTACTTACTAGTAGTCAAAACTTCGGTCAGTCTATTTCGTCAGAGCCTGTGACAGTAGTATACAGTGATACTAGCAGTTGTATGTAGTACTAGTAGCTTCAAACCTACGGTCTGTCGCGACTGACACGACTGATGCGACTGAGGAGACTGACGGGCTCTGAGCGAGTGAGCCAAGAACGACCCGAGGTCGCGCGGAGCATAAGCGCCCAATCACGTCAGCCATGACAGCGATCTCAGACTCCGGATCAGGCCCTTCATTAGCCTCAGGCGCCGTCAGACAGTGCGCCGTTTTGCTGATGTAGCCAAATGGGACATTCTTCGAAGTGTGGCGCAGGGCCACTAGAAGCTCGTCTCTGTGAAAGCTGCGTCAGATCGCGATGAATTCATTCACTGGCAAACGGAACGTAAGGATTTCCTCCGAGAGGCTGGGAGTGCAATGGAGGGATCATAGTACTGCGGCGGCGAATCAGGAATGCACGACCTCCGAGTCAATTGAAGGACCCCAACCAGTAGTCGCACCGTCGGACGGACTTGTCAATATTGAAATATTGGTTACTAGGCTTTGGTGGTCTTGGACGTACTACGAAACGCTATGCGCAAATATGGTGACGTTGAGCGGTGAAGACATGTTACGTACTTACAGTAACTTGGAGTGTCTGCGAAGAGAAATCTTGGAGCCGTAGGCTCTCATTTTGAGTAGCGCTGAATGGCAGGATTACAACGCTAATAACATCGAACTGCAGCGACGAGGCCCGGGCGATGATTTGTATCCGAGCAGCCAGGCCTCATTGAAAGCGGGCTAGTTTGCAAAAACCCATGATCAATACATAGATCACCTCAGTACGCCATGGAAGCGGCGACTGATGCCTAGATATACCAGCTTGAAGGAGCTGTGTTGATTGCGCCATGTTTGAGCTTGAGGGCCACACCCCCGCCTTTGTAGGTCCGAGTCTCATTCCGGCAGAGCGAATCTATTCTATAGGAGGATACGTCTTGTTGTAGACTGCGTATTCCAGATCTGATATGGTTATACTACGTCGTTTTTGAAGTCGTCCCTAATAGGGTGCATGTCGTCTGACCAGTCAACTCCATGCTTGAGTGTCGGTACAGCAGCGTCAGTCATCTCATGTCGCTCAACATTGACCACCACCTACATCATTGTGTAACACGGTTAGCGAACTCAGATCCACAAGCAATTGCAGCCTACCTGTGCTGTTCGCCCACGGGTTCCCGTTGATACCAGCTGGATATCGGTTTGCTATAAGGACGAAAGAGGGATAGTCAATCACACTAGAGTGCGTCGTAATATAGAACAGCTACCCTTCCCGATGAGTCGTGTTCACTGAAGGGCGACGATTTGGACGATCCATCGACGATGCTCTTGCGTGCATTGAGACTTGACATGACGGAATTACCATACCTGGCCACAAGAGGTATGTAGAGAAGTCGGTCGATAACATATGAGGACCCACAATTTGACGAGGGCATAATTGAACCCAATATGATACCCTTTGGTCTGGCGGTAGCAACGTTGTCAGTATGCGGAACTGTGTTTGTATGATAGACGGCACGTACTGTCGCAAGGTACGATATGATATCCGCAAGAGCCAAGCTAGCAGTCAGCAGGCCATTCGACATGATCACTAAGCACCGCATTTGAGAGAATGGACAGAGCCGAGAGATTAGGCACGTACGCTGCACCAGTCTCGAAAGCATCTGGTTCGTCCGGAGGAACTCCGTCCGTTTCCGCCGCTAGTCCAGATGTTGAATGAGCTCAATATACGAGGCGAGCGATCTCACCGTACCAGCTGCCAGATAAGTAGAATTGCGATGATAATGTCTGAAACTGCCGCTCCAACGAGCCATAGTAGGACGATGGGCTGAAAAAAAGTGTCATTCGCGAGCGTGTGTCATGTAACAATGATAGTACCTTCAATCTTTGCAGCTGAGAGAAATCGGGGATAATAGCCACACCAATCGCTGTCCCAATGCCACCGACTGGACGAACGGCGAAGTGAGCGTATTGAGCGCAGGTGAGAAGAATGAACTTACGTCCGCCGGCAACCGAAGGGACAAGGACCAGGATGGCGGGCCACCAGCTCCGCGTGAGCATCTTAATGCGCCAGGCATAAAAGAACTGCACTTGCATGGCAATAATGCCCTGCCCATTAACATGAGCTTGGCCCAACTCCTTGTATACATCATGCGCAGGACTGGACTTACCCCCATAGCTTCCTCTTTCGTATTCGGAGACAGCAAATGAGACGCAGAGTCTAGGCGCTTTTTTGATAAGCTTACCTGTCTCGAAAACTAAGAGTATTATCATATGAATCACAGACTCGTTCGATACCATCAGCATGTCAACTTACGCCAATTGCCTTTACCTAACGCCTCGACGTTACCTGATGGGGATGGTTAGCAAAGAATATATATCCAAGCAGCGCCAAGAGCACCAACCAAAGTTGTTGATGAGCACGTCGTAGATCCACCATGTGTTGAAGACAGTGTTCAACGTGTCGTTGAGAAGCAGAATCGCAACCTTGAACGTATAAGAGCTGCGTCAACAGAGAATTCGCCTCGGCGATACTAGGCGCTATGAGACGTACATAAGCCTTCATCCACGAAGGATCCCTGGCACAGCAACGAGTGAGTCGCTTGACCGATGATGCCAGACATCATACGTACTTTCTGTACGACGAAAAGTAAAAGAAAGTCTGGGTGATCATAGCGCCATAAAGCCTACATGTGGATCAGAGGAAGCATCGAGGAT